AGGACCACCAGGTCCTCCCGGTGCAGATGCAGTCAAAACTATTGGCGTTCAAGGACCAAAAGGTTCAGTTGGGAGAGTGGGCCCACGAGGGGAACCAGGCGCAAGTGGCGTCCCAGGCACCCCTGGAGAAATTGGACCGCAAGGTCCACCCGGTCCAGCAGGGAACCCAGGTATGCGAGGAAAAGATGGAGTTCCAGGAAATGCTGGTGCTCCTGGACGACCAGGTGCAGATGCCCAGTACTGCCCTTGCCCACCAAGAACTGCATTCCTGCAACGACGTCACTAAACTCCTCCACTTCGTTCAACACTTCTCTTTTATCTTGCTTCTACCAGTTTTGTGTAAAAGCAAATAATAAATTTTCTCACGCATCAGCAAACAACTACAAGAACGTCGAGGTGGCATCACACCACTCCACTACTCAAGTAGGAAGCACTACTGCACAAAGCTTATTTGCATGAGAAACCTAAAGAGTATTGAAAAAAGTTGGGAAATCAGATGCTCTTTTATAACTTTTTCAAACAAAAAGTTAATTTCTTTTAACAATTCTTGAAATATAGGCCTGAATGGAGCAAAAAATTCATATGCGTCGAACAGAAATAATGTTTGGAAGTCTACAAAAAGAAGTAGGAAAAAACTGGCCATTAAAATCTACCCACCTTTACCCACAGAATAAAAAAACAAAATTAAAAAGCTCTCAGCAGAAGTTACCCTAGTAACCTTTCAATTTCGTTCATCCTCTCAACATCATCCTCTCATGAAATCAGGAATGGCATGTTCTATACCAGTTTTTTTTTCGATCTAATTCGAAACCTTTATTGAAAGGAAGTGTAGCAAATGGAAAACAAATTAAATAATAATTCAGTTTATTCAAGATAGGCAAACTTCATCATTCGACCCGTACAAAAGTAAAAACAAATAGCTTCAAAATATTTATAAACACCGGTAAAAAACCAAAATTTAGAGACTTGAAGTGATTTGAACATCAGAGCAGCTGGGAAGCTAACTGGATATATATATCTTCGTAAGTAATTTTCTAAATCCTCGTTGTTTAAACACAGAAGTTAAACCTTTAAGGAACAATAACCAAATTTAAAGTAAGCCAAAAGTACATCACTTTTTGGAAGAAAACTAAATGGTTAAACAAGAGATGATATAAAACAGTTTGTTAGTTGTCTTCTCCTTTAAAACTGCGCAGATATCTTTCATTACAGAAAAGAGCAGAAATGGATTGGAAAGGAAGAATCAAATACAATGACACAAAAATTTCCATTTAGAGCTTCAAATCACTTTCTCCTTAAACTAACAAATGCTTAACTCCGATAAAAACAAACATTTCTAAATTATGCTGTAATTCTTCCAATACCTGTAGAAAATGTACATAAAAGCAAGAACTAATATACAGCCAATTATAAAAATTACTTTATCCTCGCTTATCCTCCTCTGAATCAAACGCAACGTAGTGGATGACAATCCCAACTAAAAGGATGAATGGTCACAACGGATAAGGTTTATAAGAAACAATAAGTAGCATTCAAACAAAAATAAAGATAAGTTCTTTGAGACCCTTGTATTCTAGAGCAACCAAGTAGCAAATACGTCCAAAACTCAATTCCTGTACAAATTTTCCATGTTACAACATCCTTACATAGTGTTTGATAAATCTAACCGTCCAAGCTTATATACTACTCCTATGAAATAAGAAGTCTAGTGTAGATGAAGTTCCTCTCTAAAAAAGCGTTTGACTAAAGTTGGTTTTTACAAAAAATAGTGGTGACTTTACAATTTGTAATTAACCCGTGAGACCTGTAAAATTAAGCAGCCAAATGATTATAGTATTAAACAAAGCTTATTTGCAAAGAGTAATCTTTTTTAAATCCAAACTTAGATGTTGAAGTCTCATATAGTATAATAATTACTGTACAGCGCAAACGTATAATCAAGTGGAAGCTTGAAGAAGTAGACCAGAAAATAAATCTGAAAGACTGCTAAAAGTACTTAACCTAAACCGATATAGTTTAAAGAGTAATCCACAGCTAAAAATCAGTTAAGAACAAAATATGTCGAAGAAGGGGAAAATATAATTAAAAATATTCAACAATTGAATTCTGAAAAGGTTCTATTTGGAAGAATTTGGCGAAACTACTAAAGAAGAACTAAGTTATTTCTATTCTCCAAAATTACTCATCCTAAAACGTAGAAAAAGTATTTCACCTCCGAAATTAATTGGTAATTTTAAATGACAGAAAATTGATGATCAGAAAATCGCCGTAAATTGCCAATTACTAACTTGCTGCGTTATATCCAGAACTCGGCGTTTCATTCCTCCTAAGTTTAACCCCTGAGATCTGATTTGTTCCAAAACGGCACTTCCATGGCTTATTAATTCATCCACAGCGCTGTTTGAAGAATGTAACCGGTCATTTAATTGTAGTTCCCCATCATCCAGGTTCAGATAAGTAGTGGAGTCATTAGGAGTAAAGCTGAAAAAATTTCAAACTTGTAAGAAACAGTTATGTCCCGTTAAATACGAATGTTGATATAACTTGTAGAATCCTTAATTAAATTTAACCGTCTTGTTAAAAGTTCTTCTCGCTCAGCAACGGCTCTCCACCGCGCAAGCAGCTTAGAGTGTATAGATGTAGCGGCAGAATTCAGCGATTGACAATCACATTTCAACTGATCAACTCTGCACTTCGCCATTCTTCTCCGATTCACAGGCTCTTTACCAACAAGAAGGTCCAGACGTTGGCAGTTGCCTTCAACCTTTCTTAAAATAACAAACAAAGTACTCGCGATAGGAGCCCTGATATTACCCATAGTCTCACAGACAACTGGCCATCAAAAAAAAAAAAAAAAAAAAAAAAAAAAAAAA